AACCCGCCTAAATTTATGCTAATTGGTTATTAATTACTGCATCATCTACTATTGCTTAAGCATCTTTAAATTAACACACATGCTCTTTGGGGGTGTGTGTAATTTGAATAATCCTTTAATTGGGTAGGTGGTGGCAAACCTGCCCCCCCCACCACCTTTTTATCAGTCTTTCAGCTCTTCTTCAAAGCTATAGTCATCAGCAAAGCAAGTAGAGCATTTAACTCTAAATTAAACAGTGTCTAAGCACTAATCCATACACATTTCTGTCCCTGTAAAGTGGAAAATTCTGCTTTATGGCTATCACTTTCAGCGGCCAGGCAAGCCCGCAGCCCCAATGTGAGTGGTGCTGTGCAAGGACCACTGAGGGAGGTTTGAGGCCAGGCACCCCTTTTGGGGCTGGCACCTTTGGCCTGGGAGCAGGGGCTCGATGTTTACGGTTTTGAGGATGGACACAAATTTTGGTCGAGAGTGATGTGAGGTGATATTTTGAGCCATTGCTCGGCTAGGCGAGCCCGCAGCCCCAGTGTGCGTGGGGCTGTGCGCAGCCCCAGTGTGTGTGGTGCTGTGCGAGGGCCGCTGAGGGAGGTTGAGGCCAGGCAGGCCTTTTGGGACTGGCACCGTTGGCCTGGGAGCAGGGGCTGGACATTTTCAGTTTTTCGGCTGGATTCTGGTAGACCCGAGACAGAGGGTGAGCCACTCTTCGGACTGTTTAGGTGTCTGGAGTAGCCTGCGGCCCCATACTTGTCAGGGCTGTGAATGCGGCCATGAGGCAGGTTTCAGGAAAGACACACCTTCTGGGGCTGGCACCTTTCTCCTGCAAACAGGGCCTGGGTGTTCTCAGTTTTGAAGCTCGAAGCCGGTCGATGGCCAGAGAGATGCTGAGTCGCACCTCGGAGTTTTTTGGGTGCCAAACTGGCCTGCAGCCCCAGTGTTAGTAGTGCTGTGAATACGGCCATGAGGCAGGTTTCAGGAAAGAAACATCTTTCAGGGCTGGCACCTTTTTCCTGGGGGCAGGCCCTGGACATTTTCAGTTTTTCAGCTGGATGCTGGTACACATCGAGAAGGAATGTAAGATGCTCATAGAACTGTTTCGGTGGCAGGGTGATCCCTTATTCCAGGGTTATTAGGGCTGTGAATTGTTTTGTGAGGGAAGTTTAATCTAGAAACATCTTCTCTATGGCTGGTATTTCTGTCGTGCATTAAAGAACAAATCTTCACAGCTGTGTGCTGGGGCTGGGCAGCCCAGGTGGGTCCGACGAGGATAGGATTGGGATGAGGTGCTTCTCTCTTCTACAACCACTTTGTCCTTTCCCACTGGCAAAACAGCCAGCGGAGAACGTGGGAGGATCCTAAAAAGTGTGGATTGAAGTATATTTCAATCATTCCGGTATTTTCAGACTGTTTGCCTGAAGAAACACCCCTCACCTCAGCAACTGATGGGAGCCGTCTCCACACAGCCAGTACCTTTGAGAAGCAGCGGTGTGTGATGAAGTCACAGAAATGAGACAATAAGGTGTCTTACCATTAGCAGGGTAAAAGGAGGAAACTAAGGAACCATAAACCAGTCAACTTCAAATCACAAAAAAGACAGTGAGACATTTAATCGAAGAGAGAGATGAGTAATAACCATGGCCATTGCCAAGAATGAATCATTTCAGATGAGTCTATTTTCCTTCTGTGACAGATCCCAGTCCTTGGTTCAACATTATTGTTCACTGTTCCTTCATCAATAACTTATGTGTTGTAATGGCGAATGCGCTTATTAAATTCTCAGATGTGCCTGAGCTGGAGGGGCTGTGAGCGCCCCAAAGCACCAGCTTAAAATTCAAAATAATGTAGACGAATTGGAGAGATCAGTTCAGTATGGAAAAATCTGACAATTAGGAAAGTAACCGTCCTACCACAAGGCAAACAAACCGCTTACGCAGCAAATTTTCAGTGGAAGATCTATAGGTTGCACCAATCATGACTTATGCTATCAGCATATTGAATACCAATACGGGATCTATAAACAGAAGAGCAGTTTGTAAAACACATGATGTTTTCCCTCATCTCTCCAGCAAGAGGATCTCTCAACTGGTGTCCTAAGATAAACTTCCAGTAAGAAATGAATTCTCTATCTTCCCACTGCTTCTCTGCTAATTTTTGAATGGGAAGCTCCTGGTAAACTCCCGTAGGATGCCTGACCTCCTCCAGAAGTATGTGCTTCTGTGTCCCTTTCCAGAATGCACTTTCTAGGGCCATGACTATTTATCAGACGCTAATAAAAGTACTATCCAAGCAACTTGGACAATGCTGTTTGCAGCCCCTCGAGAGACTGGTAAAACTGTTGTGATCAGGTAAGTCATAACCATCAAGCTTGTTTCCTGATGTCATTTTAGTTCCTCTTTCAATAAAAACGAGCTCTGAGATGCCACCTGCCTTGGTGACTATCATATAACAAAATAGTATGTTGTTTTGTGGATATCTTTGAACCATCAATGCTTTGTCCATCAAGAATAAATGTTGATGAATGGTGAGAAAGGTCTCCAGATAGCGGAGACATCAGGACGGGCTTTTTTCTCACCTGAAGATTTTCATCTTCCTTCTTCACCTGTGACTCTGCCTCCTGACCGCTGCCATGGCCTGAGTCAGGAGGCTTTGCCCCCCAAGTCCACCTCTTCCACGTCGCCTGGTGCCATTTCGGGCTGTCGCTGCTGTGGCAACGCAGAGATTGCCTCCAGCTCATCAGCACCAGGGCTGCAGCAATACAAGCTGCAAAACCAACCTGGGCAGGCGGTGGGGGAAATATCTGACCTGCCCCACTCCAGAGCACTGTCGCTGCGCTGCCTGCAGGTCCCGGGCAGCTGGGCAGGTATGTTAGTTCAGGGAGAGCCAAGCTGTAGAAAGCTGCTGCCAGCGTGTCTGGCCCGTGGGGCAGGCTGTGTCCTGGGGCACACGAAGCCATGGCCACCAAGGGATGCCCAGTGAAGGCATGGGGTGTTCATCTGCTGGGGCACCCAGCACTGGAAATGGGCTGCTGGGGGGGGAGTTCCTGCACCCCTCTGAGCTGGCACCAGTGTCCCCAGCATGCTCGGGAACTGGGGCTGGCTGAAAGCCCATCCTGGCAGCCTGCTTCTCCCTGCCTGGAGGCTCCAGTTCAGCGTTGCAGGCAGGAGCAAGGCTTGGCCCTCTGCACCCTCTGCCTGACCCCGATAAAGCACCACGGCTTGAGGTCCCCATCTTGTGGCAGCAGGGACAAATGGCTGGGATAGAACTCATCCTGGCTCTTTGGAGCTCGGCAGTTCTTTGGCCAGGCAGAGCCCTGGGAAAACGCTGCAGAGCCAGGACGCTGCCCACTGCCACATGTGTCCTGCCTAAGGACACAGCATGGCATGGGGGCGGTTGGAAGCAAAAATGGGGACAGTGAGGACAATTGCCAAGCCCTTCCCCTCCACGCACGTACTATCCCCTGCGTTGCTCTTACACCTTGCCTCTGATGCACACACCATGCGCATAAGAACCCCGCAAGGGTCCTCTGTGGCCAGGTTTGGAGCATTCCTAGTCCATGCTGGATTTGGTGCTGGCTCTTCCCAGTGCTTTACACACCAATCCACACCACCTTGCACACCTGTGTGCCCTGACCCCCCCCACCATGCCCCTGCTTCCCCCAAGCTCCTCAGAGAGCAGAGGGTCTCTGTGCAGCAGAGCTGTGCCCACAGCTACGTCTGGGTGATGGCAGCTGGAAGGGTGCAACCTGCCCCAACACCCTGCTCCATCCAAAGGTAGATCAGGTTGGTCAGCGATGCCCTGACCAGCTTTCTCTTCCCCTCCTCACCGTGCCCACGTGTGGTGGGCATCTGGGGTCATGATGCCTGTGGTGCTTTGCAGGAGAAACCCTGGGGGCTGGAGGGTATCCCTCTCTCTCCAGAGTCACTTAGGGTCTCTCCTGCCTCTGATATGTTCACTGATGGGGACTGGAGGCCGTGGGGCTGGGACAAGTGTCCATCCTTGCAAGTGCCAGGGAGCAAAGTGGCCCATGGCAACCTTGGCTTGGCTCCCTGCTCTGGCTCTGCTGCGCCAGCTGCCCCAGGGCTTTTCTTGGACCCTCACCCCAGAACCAAGCACCTCCCAGCCCTGGCAGGGATGGGGCAGCCTTAGTCAGCACCTGGCAGGTTGTAGCCCCTGGGACTATCTGCTGCCCCATCTCCCACCACACCCACAGCTGGAGGAGAGCCCAGCTCTCCTTTATCAGCCGTCCACAGCCCCCCACCCCAGCTGCCCCGCTGCGGGCTGCGATAAGGGCTGGGGCTGCGCAGACACTGCTGCTTTGCTGCCTGTGCTCGTTCTCCTGCCCTGACACCCCCTACCTCGCTGCGCTTCAGGGCCCAAAGAACACGATCTGGGGCTGAGCCCCGTCTGCTCCTCCTTGCAGTCCACCATGCCCGCTGTCTCCACCAGCCCCCCAGAACCCCTCCAAAGTGATACCCCAGCAGAAGTCCTTCAATGCCGCACAGACACACAGAAAGATGCCCTTGCGCCTGGAGGTCCTTGGGGTCTCCTCGCTGTGCCACCACACAGAAGATCACAGGCAACAGAAGCCCCTGTACCCCACTGTCTCCTGCAAGCACGTCCAGGAGGAGACAATCTCCAACAATTTGGTCAGAATGGGGGCAAGGGGCTGGCGGGGCAAGAGGGGGTCCCAGAGTGGTGCTCTGCTGGGAAGGCCAGGACAGCCGGGTCTGCAGGGAGCTCCGAAGGGCCAGACTCTGGCTGCTCTCTGTGAGTCTTTCCCCTCCACTGCTGCCTGGAAATGCTCTGCTTGCTCCC